ATACACTAAAACTGCCTCCTATACCCCAATTCTGATGAACATTGTTAACCATCAAAGCTTGACCTGTAACTACAATGCCAAAATTGAAATTTGGCATTTCACTTGATTTTGGTGAGAATGCCCCTACCAAACTATCAGCAGAAATTCAACGAGTAAAGCTGATATTCTGAAACATCTGTATGTGCCTCTAATATCTTATTGGACCATCTAGACTCCCAGATGCAAATGAAAAAAACACAAGCACAATGTCATCAATGAAAAAAAAATCATAGATGTCACGTATATAATAACCATATATTAGCTATAAGGGTAAAGTACACATGATCCCTACTATAAGGTGTTATTTTGTTGTCTCCCGACTATTAAAAATTATAAAATGGTCTCCGATTATAGTGTGTTGCTTTGTTGAGCATTATAACTATTAAAAGTTACAAAATGATCACTCAACTATTCATATGCTCTAAACTTGTCCTTTTATGTTAAGAAAAATGGCGATCATCTGAGTTGACGTTAATCTATTGACTGAGGTATGATAAAATCTGATTTCAAACCTTTTGAACTATATTTCGTGGTCAATTTTCTGTTTACATGCCGTCAAGCTAATGCTTGAAACATTATGTCGTCGAGCCAATACTTTAAAGCAATGATGGTACCAATAGAAATCATTAAAATATAATTTTAACGAAAAAGTATAAATTTGGAACATATGAATAATCGGATGACCATTTTGTAACTCTTAATAGTCGGGAGACTCAACAAAACAACACCCTATAATCGCCTAATAAGGAGATCATTTTATAACTTTTAATAGTCAACGGACTCAACAAAACAACATCCTATAGTCGGTGACAATTTTATAACTTTTATAGTTGGGGAACTAAACTAAACAATGGTCTATAGTCGGGGGACCATTTGTATACTTTACCCTAACAATTAATCCATTCAATTTATCGATATGACTGTGCTTTTCATACACAAAATTTTCAATTGACCTGGTATATCTATCATATCCTTAGTTACTGCTCATCAATGATAAGCTTGTGTTACTCGAACTTCAATGTGACTACCAAATGAGGGCATATCTTTGACACATGTATGTTCAACTATATCTAAAACAAAGTTTTTCCAAGTATTTGGAGGGTCTTTTCTTTATATATAGGAATTGAAGGCCTCATTAAAAACCCCATTCATGATTAAGGAACTCATAATGAATTCCTTAATCAGAGAAAGGAGGAAAAGAGTGTCTTATACTTCATTAATAAAATATACATAAGATTTACATCATCAAGATAAAACCCTTACAAACAATCCTAAGAACCCAAAATAAAATACCCCTAAAACACACTGAAATTAGCCAATACCAGACTTAGCCAACCCATCAGCCTCTATATTGGTTGTCCTAGTAACCATCTAATAACACCCTCCACTTCTTTAAGCTTAATCGTATATCCCTGACAATAAAGGCATAGAGATCATGACACAAAGTTCCATTCTTAACCCATTCCACTACCATTTTACAATCTGATTCTATAATCAACCGACCTTTAATACCTCATCTCATTGAATCAAAGAAATATAATCCCTTCTGAACAGCCTCTAACTCCATCAAAGTAGGTGGACCCGGACCCTCCTTAAAAGAGCCAAAAAGAAGACCTTCATCATCTCTAAGAATACCCGCAATTCCACTGCTGTTCCAATCAGAACTGGTAGTTGCATCCACATTCAATTTGACAAAGCCCTTAGGAAGGGGGCCAAAAGATCATAGAGACAATTGATTTGTTAAGAGGGAAACATGAATCCCCAAGGGACGAGTCACTGATAAGAGAATCCATAGAAATAACAGAGTCTGCAAACTTAGCTAAGAACCAAGATGCAAGCCTCACTCTTGATAAGAAAAATAAGTTAGCCTGGTCTAACTTCCCTCTTTCGAAGACAATATCATTTCTAACTTTCCAAACAGTCCAAATAACAACAGCCGGAATAAAGTTCCAAATAGAAGAACTAGAATTTAGTTCTTCCCAAGCTAGGAGGAAGTTCTGCGCATTTTCTTGAAAAACCGAACTAATACTCCAATACTGCACAAATTTGTTCCAAAGTGACCACATGACAAAACAAGAGAAAAATAAATGAGAAGAAGTTTCATCAACCAAATTACATAGGCAAGAAAGATCTACAATACCCGTAACCCCTCTTTTAACCAGTTTCCTCTCACTGACAGCTTTTTAAGAACCACCTGCCACATAAAAAAACTCACCTCTTAGTGGCACCAATCCTTTCCATAAAATTTTCTTCCAAAAAGAATTCTCCTGGGAAGCCAAGGAACAAATCTTCACACATGAATTTACAGAAAAAACACCAGCCCCGTTTCCTTTCCAGATCAGACCATTGATGGCCTTTTTAGACAAACAAAAATTAAAAATGATAGTCATCAGATTAGCCCATTGTTCAAATTCCCAATCTGCCAAACTCCTCAACTAAGTATTCCAAATCCATCCCAAAGAACTAAACTCGCCAAATTCAATTAATTTGCCACTATGATTTGAAGAAATAGCAAACAACCTTGGAAAAGAGACCTTAAGAGGGCAGTCCATTGCCCAGTTGTCCTGCCAAAACCGAAAAAACTGACCACTACCAACTTGAATTCTGCACATACTACAGAACTTTGAGCCAAATGAGTCTTCTTTAAAATGAGAATTAACCACTGAACTCCAAATCCAGGAAGCTTGAGCTGGAATTTTGCTATTGAACAATAATGAATAAGGACAAGATTGTATTTAGAGCAATATCAACCTTCTCCAAACAACATTCCTATCATTAGCAATCCTCCAAAACCATTTCCCCCAGAAGGGCTCTGTTCATATTAATAATATTTAACACTCCCAAACCTCCTCATCCTTAGATTTGCACACATTGGGCCAACTAACCCAATGAATCTTATTTCTCTCCATTCCACCTCCCCATAAGAACTTAGACATAATGGAATTGATTTTGGAATTGACCAAGGAGGGAATTTAAAAAAAAATACAAGTAGTAAGTTGGAAGTGAACAAAGAACCAATTTAATCAAGACTAACTTCCCTGCCAATGAAAGAATGGCAGCTTTCCAACCTTCAAGTTTCTTGTAAAATTTTAAAACAACAGGATCCCAAAGAGAGGAAGAATTTCGTGTTGCACCAAGAGGAAGAATTTCGTGTTGCACCAAGAGGTAGACCTAGATAGTCATAAGGAAAATTCCCAACCGCACAACCAATTGACGATGCCCACTCCTCAACCTCCTCTGAAGCCATATTAACACCAAATAACTTGCTTTTCTTTAGATTCAATTGAAGACCAGACATGACTTCAAACACTTGTAATACCCTCTTAACATTTGAAATCTATTTTTTTGAAGCCCTACAAAAAAAATTAGGTCATCTGCAAATTGCAGATGAGATAAATTAATAGCAGTCTCATCCTCCCAATCTACAGTCCACAAAACAGTCCCTCAGTGACTGCCTTTAAAAGAAGTAAATTTAGAAGTTCCCCAACCAAGTTGAAAAGCAAAGGAGACAGATAACAATCTTGAAGGAGACCCTTGCCATAGGAAATTCCTTAGAAGGGACCCCATTGATCAAAACTGAAATTGAAGTTGTTGTTACACATTGTCTTATCTAACTCCTCCATTTGATGCCGAATCCTATTTTCTCCATAACCTTAAAAAGAATAGACCAATCCACAGTATCATAAGCCTTCCTAAAGTCCACTTTAAACACACAACCTTTAAGTCAATTTTTCCTCCAAAAGTCAACCCCTCATTTGCTATAAGAGAGCAATTCAGTATTTGACGGCCTGAAATAAAGGCAAACTGCGTAGGGATTTTCAAATCAGTAATACAACTCCTTAATCTCCTCGAAAAGGTATTTTGAAAGGATCTTGTATAACCCTCCTACAAGGCTTATAGGTCTACCAATATTAGACACCTTGGGAATAAGAGTAATGAATGTATGATTAACTCCATGTTCCCAATCTTTCCCCATATAGAAGTTATGAAAGAATTTTAGAATATCGACCTTTAGAACAGACCAAAATCTCTTGAAAAAAACCCATATTTAAACCATCCAGCCCGGGAGCTTTGTTGCTATCACACGATTATAAAGTCTCCCAAATTTCTTCCTCCGTAAATTCTTTTTCCAAAATAACACTTTGCTCCACTGAAATTCTGGAAAAATTCAGCTTAATATCTTCAACTTCCAAGATAGACTTTGTGTAAAAAAATTCCAAAAAAATGGTCCTTAACACTAGCTTTGATGATAGCCGGATCTTGAGTAATCTCACCATTGACATTTAGAGCACTCATGAAATTCCTTAACCTCCTAACTGAAGCACATATGTGAAAAAATCTTGTATTATAATCCCCTTCTTCCACCCATTTTGATCTCGATTTTTGAAACCATATTTGTTTTTCAATTTTGTAAAGCTACATAATTCTGATCTCATAGCAGTCAATTCTGCTCCTTTTTCACTACCATTTGAATCTTGCAACTGTTGGAAATTTTCCTCTGCCAAGTGAATTATCCTTTCTAATTCGACAAACTCTACAGTTGCAAATTGGTATCTCTTCCCCGCCCATTTCTTGATTGCTAGTTTAGTTGTTTTTAGGATCAAAGTTATCAAAGGCTCAAGGCGCATCGAGACGCAAAGTGTCCTGGAGCCTTGAGGCGTGAGGCGCATGAAAGGCGCGCAAAGTGTCCTGGAGCCTTGAGGCGTGAGGCGCATGAAAGGCGCGGATTCATGAAGGCGCATATATCCAAAAATTGTAAACATGTATATATAATGCAATCAAACTCAAATATCATAGATACCCAATATTAGGCTTCATAGAGTTTATTCTCAAATTCAAAATACCAAACCTAACGTCAAAAGTATCAACAGCATAATCAAGTACTAAGTTTAACAAAAACATTCAACATGCAAAAACAAAACATCAAATAAAGTCACTGATAATCATCATCAAACATCAAACTAATCCTCATCATCATCGTCAGTGGTAGTCATCATCTTCCTCCTCATCGTCTCACAATCCCTAATGTCTTCTTCTTTAGTGTCACTCTCCTCTAGCATAACAACTTCATTATCTTCATCTACAAGGTGTGGTCTAGCTTTTTCCTTTCCTTTCCTTTCAAGCTTGAACTAGCAACGTTATTTCTTCTAGTATTATGGTCACGCTCATAAGCTCCAGAAGCTATACCAACATCCTTCCATGTCAAATCGTCATCATCAAACACATAATCTTCATTTTCTTCTTCATCCTCATCATTTTACCAAGCAACAATTCGTTACTTTCATCAATGTCATCCAAAGAGATTGGATCAATGACATCACGATGATTATAACGCCGCTTTAACGCTCGATTATATTTCACATAGACTAAATTATTGAGCTGAGTTTGCGCAAGTCAGTTTCTTCTTTTGTTATGAAGCTGCCAAATTATAACAGAATAATCAAGAGTCAAAAACATTACTTATGATGTTTCTTAAATGATATCTGAGTTACTTACGAGGCTAAAAATACTCCAATTTTGCTCACAACGACTTACACTACACGTAAGGCTGAGGACTTTGATGGCAAACTTTTTTAATTCCGGTGCATCATTGCCAAAAGAAGCCCACCACTCGGCTGTAAATATATATTTTAGAACAAGTTTTAGAACAAGCAAAAATTAAATTTGATTTATATTATTTTATATATGTACTAATCTCTCAATGCATTTAAGCAACCGATCATCACCTCTTTATCCTCTTGAATTTGGGGATTTGAGTAGAATAACTGAGGATTCAAATAACACCCGACCGCGTGTAATGGTTGATGGAGTTGACAATCCCACCTTTTCTCAATAATTGCAAACACATCTTTGTACTTGTTCTCCACATTATTAAAGGAGTTTACAATTGCTTCTTTTGCCCTATCCATGGCCTCATATACATAGGCCATGGCTGGCCTTTTTTCACCATCAACTAACCTAAGCACTTTTACGAGAGGACCCGTCATCTTAAGGATATACATAATTGTACTCCAAAAGGTAGGCTTCAAAACAATGGATGCGACTCTTTTACCGCCATGCTCTTTTGAGTATTTACTCTTCCTCCATTCATTAGAAGAAAACATCTTTCTAAGGTTTGCCTTTTGAACTTTTATTGAACAAAGAGTGATGTAAGCGGTGGCAAATCTGTTTATCGCGGGTCTCACCAACTCTCTTTTCCCGGTAAACTTCCTCATCATGTTTACAACACCTGTACGGCTATATATAAACCCGTTTAAGGTCATTGCTCTCTTCAACGTGACACGAACTTTCGAAATCTTTCCTATGTCTTCAAGCATCAAATCAAGACAATGAGCAGCACATGGAGTCCAATATAAATGTGGACGTTTCGCCATCAATAAACGTCCTATAAAGATATAAAAATTAAAATAGTATAAAACTTCAAGTCTTATATAATTATATAAATATATACAAATATAATAATTTAATGTGGACGTTTCATCACCTACTGCTACATATGCAGAAGCATATCTTGCTTTACCTTTGCCCATGTCAATGCAATACTTCCAAGCTATATCTTGCTTTGAAGAAGTTGATGACTGATTTTCAGAAGTCATAATTTCAAATCAGATTTTCCAAAAGCAAAATATTGATGATTAACAGCTGCAATATTGTCCCAGAAGCCAGAAAAATGAAAACAGAAAATTAAATAAGAGAAACTGTGATTATCAAGAACAGACACATAAGCAAACGAATAACTGCATACTTAAAAAAGGAAAAAAAACAAGAATAGACACATACGAAATTACGAATAACTGTATACTTAGAAAAGAAAAGAAAAAAACAAGAACAAACACATACGCACGAATTGTGGTGATTATCAAGACAATTTGATTGAAAAAAAAAATTCTTTCAACACAGATGGTTAACAGTATAAATCGAAAGATCAATCGAAGAACAGAATCACTTACGGGAAGAATTGAATGTGTGAATTGATTAATCGAATTGTTGCTACTTTCTTGTTCAACATCGCAGTCGTATGGATAGAAGGCCGATTGACAGTAGATTGAGGGTTTTAATAAGAAAGGAGGAGGGAAAATAAGAAAAGGAGACTCTTACGTGTAGTTAGAGCCTTAAAAGACAAATCAAATTCAAATAATAATAAAATATTTTATTTAAAAAAAATTAAAATGAAGATAAGATAGGATAAGTTTATTTTGAAATTTAATATTAAAATTTGTGTTATGTGAAATATTATTATTTAAATTAGTATAATGTAAATTTCAGAATAATTAAATTAGATTTCAAAATAAATAAATTTAATTATTTTAGTAAAATTCGAATAATTAAGTATACATACTCACAAAACTTTAAATCATAGATTATATCCTTCACTTAGTTATTAATCAGTAAGTTAATTAAACATTCTTTTTAATCTATGCTAATACATAGAAGTACCCTTTCTTTCCGAGTTTCATCAGTTAATCGCATGCATTCCTATTATACTTTGCTTAATTTTTTAGACTGTCACAAATTTTGATGAGCGGAAAAGAAAATATCAAATACTGATAGATAAATAAACTTAGGTGAAGAAAGGACCAAAAACGATTACAAAGCTTATTTATTGGAAACAACATAACGAAAATGGACATTCATTTTTGCAGACCATGTATGCATAGAAGAGAAGGCCCTGCAATAATAATTACAAGGTTTTAAGCCCACATCGCGCCTTAATTGCGCCTCGACTGAGCCTCGCGCCTCAGAGCCTCGCTGCGCCTAGGCTACGTGCCTCGCTTCAGTGTTGAAAAAGCCCCGTCCAGTGAGCCTCTGCGCTTTTGCGCCTCAGGCGCGCCTCAGGCGCGCTTTTTACAACTATGTTTAGGATATATAGAATTCCAACTCTCTTATGTTTAATCTTACAATCTTGAACAGTAGAATCAACTAAATTCTGAAAACCTTCCTCATCCATCAAATAATTAAAAAGTCTGAATGGTTTTTTGCCCCAACTAACTCCCCCATTCTCAAGAAAAATGGCATTATGATCTGACACAGACCTTGGTAACAAATATTGGGTAGTTTCAGGAAATGCTTCCAGGAAATGGAAATCAACTAGGAACCTGTCTAGTCTAACAAAGGTGGGTATATCTTGGTTGTTACACCATGTGAACCTACACCCATGTAAGGGTAAATCAATTAAACTTGTTTGTTGGACAAAGTGACTGAAAATCCTTATTGATTTCTATTTTGAGCTCTCCCAACTTTCTCTTCTTCTGAAAGATACATGTTAAAATCACCTCCCACACATAGAGGGATACTATGTCCACAAATAAAAACAGCTAACTCTTCAAAGAAGCTAGCTTTTTATTCTTCAACAGTAGGTCCATAAACATTAATAAAACCACACCTAAATTGTGTAGTTTGAAATTTCCCAAAAATAGCAATGAACCTTCTGTTTATAACATAATTTTCCACTTCAAATGTGCACTCATCCCAACAACTCAATAAACCTCCAGAAGAACCCACTGCTAGAGATTCTACAAACCCTTGAAGGGTATTCAAACCACTCCTCCTTAAAAAATGTTTCTGAACCTTCTCCAATTTAGTTTCTTGCAGCAGAAGAATTTTAGGGCGTTTCTTTAAAACTAAATTTCGAACAACTCTATGTTTTTCGTTTCTTCCCAATCCCCTAACGTTCCTTGTAATAAGGGCTAATTGAATTTTCATCATAATTAAAAAAGTACCAGGATACCCAAGAAAAACAGAAGCTCAGACCAGCCTCAAATCTTCCTCCAACTTTATATTTTTTTCCAAAAAGGTTGATTTCCCATCCTTGAAAGACACCCTCAATAGCTTACTGATTGCCCAAGTAAATAATGCTTCCTCCAAGAGAACCGCAAAAGCTGAAGAAGAAACTATTGTAGTGCTAACTTTATCCAATGCATCCCTTATCAACAATCTCTTGGCTCTTCTATTAGAGGTCTTAGAACTGAAATCAGAGTTATCTCCTTCTGAGAGCCAGCCTTCACACATATTAACAAAACTACTGTCAACAATTTGCCTCTCCAAAGTAGACTCCGCACAGCCTTCCATATTAACTTCTGCAACTGCACTTACTGGAAGAACTGAATTTGGATCCAAATCCTTCATCTTGAGCCTTTCTAGAGCTTCCTCTTCTCCATGAATTACAATTTGGTCATTCTCGAACCAATGTCTTCTCTCTCTGGATCTTTTATATACCCTTTTATAACTAGCAGTTCTTCCTCTTTCCAACGGCTCACTCTTTGTAGTTAATGCAGAATTAGATCGATAAAGCAATCTTCCCCTAGAAATCCGTTTTCCAGAATATACATTAGAGTCAATCAAATGTAAATCTGCAGTTAACTCCACTCCTCCACTGCACTCTATCGAGCAGGAATGTGTAGTTAAACTTGCAGTTTGAACATTTTTTTTTATTTTTCCTTCCAAAACACTGCTTCAGAACATATTGTGGCTCCTCCGTACCAGTATATTATTCCCATAATTTGGAGGGTCTTCTAAGGGTAGTATGTTCATACCTATGTTTGTATGCATAAGACACAAGCACTTCAAGCGATCTAAAGGGCCCGAGAAACATTGGAGAAAACTATGAACACTATGATACTCATACGAGATGCACAATGATTTATGAGGTAAAAATCAAATGGAACTTGACGTGTGGGAAAGGGGGTCTCTTTCAAGTTCATGGCAACCAGTTTCAGTCATTACCTGTCGAATAATTGGATTGGTGGATGTTGTAAATTCATCGGTCATTCCATGCCAAACAAGCTTCCCCTCATGAAGAAACAATAACCTATTAAGTAAAGATGAAGTAAGGCATCCAACATCATGACAAAAAACCAATTAAAAACATCATATATAGGAGAAACCTGTCGACAGCTCTGAGGATAGTACTATGTTGATGAGTAACAACTACATAAGATGTAATCTTTCCTTGTTTCCCAGGTACAACCTCACCCTTTGTATGGACAGAGTGAATGAGATCTTCAACAACTGTTGATGGAACTGGATCAAGAATGAGATCTTCAACAACTTTTGATACAATCGGATCAAGCCCGACTATTGGTTCATCATATAAAAGCACCTGTCATTAAGATGAAACAAAATTATTAAAACAAATTGCAAAATAGAGCCTAACAAGGACAATGGAAGATAAATATATACAACAATTTCTAGTGAATGAAAAATCAAATAATAACAAATTTTGTAAATTATCATCATGGCTGAAAGATATGAAATATAAAGAACGAAGGTTTCTACCCAAACTGGAATAAAATGAGGTAGAAAAGTCTAATTATACTCGACTAGGAATGCAGAGTAAATACTATGTTCTGAGTTTCCACAGTTTGGGATTAATATCTGAAAGCAAATAGGATCAGCTGATATTAGTTGAGGCCCATTTTCCCACGGTTTATTTGGATTGCACAAGTTAGTGTTCACCTAGCGATACGAAACCAAGGCTTCTATAAAGCACAACTTTCGCGGGGGGAGGGGGGATGCAAAGGGTTATTACAAAAGCTTCACATCCATTAAATTTCAAAGAAATTTTACCATACCTCCGGCTCAATTGATTCTTTGGTGATGTCACAAATTATAGAACGAGCTAAAGTAACTCTTTTCTTCATTCCTCCTGACAACTCAGAAGGCAACCTTTCAACTCCCTGAAATGCATTGGTATTTTTACTCCGATGGGAACTTAAATATTAAGGCACCTAGAGTGCAAAAGGAGGTGATGAAAGTAAAGGCATACAATGGTTACATTATAAGTGGACAATCTATCAGAGCCAAGGTTCCACATTAACTACGTAAAACATGTTCCAACGGTTCATTATGTTGATTCACTCAAGCGCGATGCAACATCTTGCTAAGACCTTAGTTATTGGTTACATATTAACCCAAAATCAAGCAAGAAAGTTCCAAGCCAGGACAACCAAGTGAAATTGTATGTTATCTAGGAGAAAAAAGTCAAAATGCAAGCATACCTTTAAACCAACAGCAGCCAAGTTCTCTGTCACAAGCTATGAAATTTGTTCATCGGACATGCTTGAATTTTCATATCTATGCATTAGCACAAAGTCATCAACCAACTAAAGTGATTTCTTTATTCAGGAGAAAATTAAGGAAATTAGAATCCAAGATAATCCGCCTAAAAACTGAGAGAGAGTATAGTATTTCTAGGAAAGAATTTATACTGTCTCTTACAAAAGGAAACCAACATTTTCACGAACAGTCAAAGAATCAAAAAGGGCTGCACTCTGAAAAACCTGTTAATGAAAATGTAAACTAAGAAATAGAACATGGAACCGATAAATTATCTCAAAGCCCTGCCAGTATAGTATTCAGAGCTTAAATAAAATTTTACCAATCCAATTCGAAGACCAGATATCTCATCAATACCAACCAAACCCGATCTTTTTTTTACCTCGAATATATACCTCTCCCTGCACATAAGAATTATGCATTCTTTATATGAGGAACTAAATAATAATAAATCAACATGCAACATAATCATGCAAAAACAATTTACCAAAACTATGAAAGCGGACACAATAAGCATTACTCACCTCGTCTGGTGCAAGAA